AGCATAGAGCCCCCGCCTCGCGCGCTGGGGTGCCGCGGCCCTCTCCCTTTCCTCTTGGGCGCCCTAACGACTAAGGCTCAAGGACCCCGCGAGCTTCTGGCTCCGCGCTTGTCTTAGGCTCCTCTCGGAACCCGCTCCGCCCCCTCCTCCAGGACGCGTCCTCTGCCACCCCGAGCGCCAGGACCCAGAAGGCCCTTCCTGTCCTCGGTCCCCAGAGAAGACGCCCCATTGAGACGGGACCTCCCAAGACTCGGCACACCTGGGCCAGGCACTGGTCGGGAGTCCCGGCTGACCACGGGTGCAGGGGAGAAGGTCCGCCCATCTTGCGGGCCTTTGCGCAGGCTCCTGGAGGCCAGGTGCCCGGACAGAGCCCAGATAACCCCTTTCACCGACCTTAGGCCACGTGACAGTCTCGCGCCACTCTAGTCACTGAGGCCTGCGGCTGGATGCTTATCACTGCCATTTCCACTTGGCAAATGAGGCAACTGAGGCAGGGGAGCTGTCCGAAGTTGCAGAGCACAGCCCCACCTGGCCTTCCAAGAGACCCCAGGATGGTCCTCTCCTGCAGAGGGTGGCCATCTTCCTGTTCCACCGTGGTGCCAAGGTGGGGGTGTTCAGTGGAGACTGGATGGGGCACCGGACTCGTGGGCACCCCTCACCTAGCTCAGAGAGGCCATGGGGCCACAATCTGTGCACCTCCTTTGCCAGCAGGGATGAGGCCAGGGCTCCAGATGCCTGCTGAGACCCTCCCTGGAGCCCAGCGCCTTGGCAGTGCCAGGACCGCCTGGCTGAGGAGCAGGGGTCATGAGCTCATGGCTTCACCTCCCCAGGGCTGGCTGGCAGGGACTGGGCGAGGTCCCCTCCCTGGAGTTGGCAGGATCAAAGGGCGAAAAGCCATCTCTGCTCTCGCCCACTGAGACAGGAATCTGTAGCCTGGGGGAACAGAACCCACAGCCACATTCCGGGTGCCCCAGTCCCCACAGGGCAAGGGTGGAGCAGGGTTGGTGTGCCAAGACTGACACCCGGAGCGTGGGAACCACCCTGCTGGAGCACCCAGCCTGGCTACCTGGAGGCCACCTCTGTCCCTCTGACACCCAGGGGCCTCACAACCAGGTCCCTGGGGTGGGGTTTGGGGCTTGGGATTTGGGCCTTGCAATCTAAAGTAGTGGGTGTTCAGACTCCTGGGGCATTCTGAGTGGGCAGCCACTGCCCCCTTCTGGGGCTGGCAGGGGCCACAGAGGGAGGGGGGCTGCATGGAGCAGGGATTCTGGCACACTCAAGAGCTCACACATGTAGACATGCACACGCATGTGCATACACACACACATACACATACACACAGCCTGCAACAAGCAGGCAAGAAGGCAGCCCCACCCCAATAGCCCAACATTTGCCTGGGGGAACTGAGCCCTGCTGGATGGAGCAGATCTGAAGGCCCTGTGCACCTCTTCCCCTGGCAGCCTTGAGGTCTCCTTGCTGGGGACATGTGGATCTGGTTCCCAGGGGCCAGAGACTCCCCCAGGCACCAAGTGGAGTCCAGGCCCAGTGCCCTGACCTGCCAGCCACAGTAAGGATGCCTTTCTACCCCCACTTTGCAGGTGGGGAAACTGAGGCCCACAGAGTTCAAATGACTTTGCAGCAAGCTGGAGGCTTCACAGCAGGTTCAGGGAAGGATGTGGGATCCTGGAGACTGACTTTCCACTCTAGAGTTTCTGCTCTGGTGAGCCCTCTTCAAACCTGGTCCTCACCAGCGGGGTGTGCTCACAGTGCTGGCCTGGCTGAGGCACAGAGCACAGGGGGCAGCCCCTCTTCTGTCTGCACCCCCTCAGGCTCCTGGGTGCACCTTAGGAGCCCAGTGACCCCTGGTGAGCACAGAGCGAGGCAGAACTACCTACCCTAGGGAGCATGGACCCAGGGCAGGCAGAGGTGGTGCTGTGAGGGCCCCAGGCCAGGGCAGCAGGCTATGGGGCCTCCTGGGAGGCCTGTGAGGGCATGGCCCACCAACTGTCTGCAGGGAGGCTCTGGTCCAGAGCTCAGGAAGGCAGCAGGGCTGAGGGACAGCGCCCCTGGTGGTGGAGCCCCAGAGGCCATGGTGAACGACCCCTTAATGCCAGGCCTCCCCATTGTTCCAGAGCGGGAGGGGCCATCTGCTCCCCCAGAGCCTCCCTGTTCACTCCTGGGCTTGGAAGCCAGCACCCCCCAGCATAGGCTTCACACCTGGCTCTGAGAAGCCTGCAGCGTGTTTGCCAGGGAGGTGATTGAGTGAGTGTGGGGCCCCCACCCTGGCTGGGATCCAGCCTCCTGGTCAGGGTCTGTACCTGGAGGAGCCAGTTCCCTTCCTGGTCTCTGCAGTGACAGAGCTGGTGCCTGTGGCCTGGAGGGTGAGTTAGGGTTGCCATCTGCTCTCAAGCACAGGCCTGCTTTCCTGGGAGCTGGGCCTCGCACTCCCTGGTGCCCTGGATGAGGGCTGACCAGAGAGAGGACAGGGGCTGCCAAACCTAGGGTAAGGACTGGTGTGCCGGGGCAGAAGTGTGTGCATACAACATTCTCCTGCAGTCAGACACATGCACATGGCATGTGCACAGGAGCACACACCTTCCCAAGGGAAGAAGCACCCTGTTCATGCACCTTCAAGCCCAGGATGTCAAAATGGAAACATCAGGAAGAAATGTGAGTGAAGGGTGAAAGGGTGGCTCTTGGGTTGGGGCCTCTGGGCCTCAAGTTCTTTTCCAACTGTTATAGTTACAATCTGCTTTCCAGATGCAGCCATCTTGCGGTGGAAGAAATGAAAACAATTGAAGAGATGGGAAAACTGAGGCCAGGCAGTGGGGTGATGTGTCCAAGGCAGCTAGCGTTTGAGGCCAGGGCCCTGCAGCTTTCTTGGGTGGCTGTGGGTTAAGGGGGGGTCAGGTTCTGGGTACAGATAGAGCCTATACCACCACACAAGCTGCCACAGGTAGAGCTGAGGTCTCCAGCCTGACTGGAGGGGTCCCTGGGGCCACACACAGGTCCCTGGGGTACCAGGCTCATGAAGCCAGATCCTGAGAGTGAGGGTCTGGGCTGTCTGCCCCCACTGCCAGCAGCTTGTGCTCCCAGGAGGGGATGGGGAGTGGTGAGGGGTTCACCCAGAGGAAGACTTTTCCCTGGGTGCCAGCTGTGTCTAGAATTGCCATCACTCCCAGCCCTGCCTATGGGAGATGCTGGCCCCCAGGGTGGAAAGGAGCAAGCATGGTGGTAGCTGGAGCCTTGGTGCAAATCCCCTGGCACTTTCATGTTTGCATCTGCAAAGTGGGATCAAGAAGAGGACCTGCCTTCCAGGGTTATTGTGCAAATAAGATGCTGAGTGAAAGACAGCAGGGCAAGGACTGGGACAGGGACAGGGTGAGCTGGGTGGGGTAGGGCATAGTGGGTGCAGGGGGCAAGGAGGGGAGGTGGGGGCAGAAGGAGGTCGAGAAGGAGAGAAACAAAAGCTCCATACTATGAGACAGGCAGAGAGGCTCTAGATGGGCAATTCACAGTTCAGGGAATCTGGGGATCTGCAATGGGGAAGGGGG